TGTTTCCAACCTATCCCATATTATGAGTTCCTGCAGGTCCATTTAGCCGTAGTCGAGGTAGCCAACAACTGCATTGTATTCAGGAAGAATGTCGTCAGCCATGGCAGAGTGCCCTGTTTGTGCGCTTGCAAGCTGGAATTATTTAATTTGAAGGTAGGCAACGTATACGTCGGGCACCAGCCCAGAATGACGGACATTTACCCCACGCCAGGAGGCGCAACCAGCAAGTTCGCAACCTCGGCTGCACTTAAGTGATAGTTCTAGTGTGGCTACTCCACAGTCTCGATAAAGAAAATTTTTGTGAAGGGTGCCTCATGTGTTGGACCAGTCTGACAAAGCGCACCGAATGATCGTGTTTTCTCCTTGTACACCTTGGAAGAACTTTTGTGAGATCTTGTGATTGGTAGCGAGTGTTGGAGTCCTTGCGTAAACTATGCACACATCCCTCGCAGGATCTCTCAAGGAGAAAAGTAGATTGCTTAGCCAAAAGCAGATGTGCATGGAATAAAGATTTCACTGTGTTACTGGTGGGACTTAAAAGCGATGTCGCTGGGTGTTGACACCGAAATGACGGCCAGTCGACTATGGATGACGTTGTGTTTGAATTCATTCAGAAACACTTACTATCTTTCTACTACTCGGCACTGCGAACATGTAAAGATCAGGCTAGGCCAAAAGATCATGGATCTCGATCGGAGAATGCGAACGTACCCGGTTATTTATTAACGTTAGCAGCCTCTATTACCACTTCCTTTGATCCCTACCGCATTCTTCAGAAAGCAAAATTCCGAAAATCGACGTCTACTTGAAAATGAGGTCCACCTCTTCTTTTTATCATATCATTTTTATCACCGTACTTCTATAAGAGTGGAAATGAGAAGCTGTGCAAAAGAATGGGCACTAGTCCTAGTCATTGAACTGTGATTACCTTGTAGATTGGAGGTGTCTTTTAGTGAAGGAAAATTTGGTCCGAAAATTTGGTCAAAGTGTCGCAAAACTTTCTTCCCAACCTAATAGAATGCGAGCCGCCGATCACGAAAGGAGATTGGTTCACGGCGAGTACTTCATCCTTTTATTACTCAGTACAATTCTGGAGATAACTTCTTTCGCCTTGACCCCACTACTGAAACGGGGCGTTTTCCTGACGAGTAGTTCAATAGTGCTTATGATGGCCTTCACATTGAAGTTCGATGGTTCAAACATTTACATAGTCCACATTAATCAAATCTCAAGGCCAGTCAGAATTGAACATTGCAGCTGATGAACTTTCGGTCACACTCGTGAATCAGCTCTCTTCTCGAGCAGTGCATTAGTTACACTGGGAAGATATCCTCG